CCCCCTTCTTCCTCCATCACCCCGGGCAGCATCCCACCCTCCCCGCTTCCTCCTCTCCCTCCTCCCGGCCCCTTCCTTCCTTCCTTTCCGCAGGGCACCGGGCGATGCCGGGGACACGGAGCGGGGGGACATCCTCGGGGTGCAGCAGCGAGTTGTCACCTCCTGTCACCACCGGGTTCTGCAAGGGGAGACCCGAGGGGGGCTGCGGGACACCCCAAGTCCCCTCTCTGTCCCCAGAGCCCTGGCAGAGGAGGGGAGGGACACATATCGTGCTTTTGGGGGGACCAAAACAACTCCGTGGAGGCCAAAAATATCCCCCGGATTCAGACACAGCCCCTCACCCTCCCTCAGTGCCTGTGGCAAAAAGCGGCGGCTCCAAGGACAATTCCCAGCCGGAATTAAACCAAAACCCCCCTCCTCTCATTCTGGGGGATACCCAGGCATGGCGGGTCCCCTGTTGTCCCCAAAGCCACCACCCCGAGGTTCCATTACAGCGCTGGGGACAAGAAGCCACCCTTGTCGCTGCTGCCCCACGGGGACAAATCCCCAAATTTGGGAGGAATAAAGAAACGAGCGGCACCTCGGGGAACCTGGCACAGCTCGGGTTGGGGCTGGGAGGGGTGGCAGTGTCCCCCTGGGGCTGTCCCCTCCCTCTCTGCCTGTCCCTGTCCCCGCTCCAGGGGGGTCCCGAGCCGCATTCCTGCCGTGCTGGAGGCCGAGGAGAGCGAGGCACGTGCGGCCACGCCGGGGAAATGCCGGGAATTGCTGGGATGGCATCGCAGCCGGGCATCCCCCACCCCCCTGTGCCCCGGGTGGATCACCCTGAACACCCCGTGTGGGTCACCCTGACCCCCCTGTCCCGTGTGGGTCACCCTGACCCCCCAGCCCCTTGTGGGTCACCCTGAACACCCTGGTGTGGGTCACCCTGACCCCCCTGCCCCGGGTGGGTCACCCTGAACACCCCGGTGTGGGTCACCCTGACCCCCCAGCCCTGTGTGGGTCACTGTGAACCCCCAGCCCTGTGTGGGTCACCCTGAACACCCCGGTGTGGGTCACCGTGACCCCCCAGCCCTGTGTGGGTCACCCTGAACACCCCGGTGTGGGTCACCGTGACCCCTCCCAGCCCCGTGTGGGTCACTGTGACCCCCCAGCCCTGTGTGGGTCACCCTGAATACTCCGGTGTGGGTCACCGTGACCCCCTCGTGCCCCGTGTGGGTCACCCTGACCCCCCCTCCAGCCCCACCGCGCCATGGAGATGCCACACCACCCCCTCAGGTTGGCACCAGCGAGGGGACACTGCAGTGTCACACTCACCCCCATCTCGAGGGGACACTGCAGTGTCACCCTGACCCCCACCCTCTGCACCCTGCGCTGCCCAGAACGTCCCCAAGTGTCCCCACAAAGTGACGCGGTTCTGCCCCAAAACTGCTCCCGGCAGCGGAGTCCGGCTGGGTGGGGTGGCGCGGTGACAGCCGTGTCCCCAAAGACCCCTCAGCACACCCAGGGCACCGTCCCGGTGCCTCCACACGGGCACGGAGATTTTGGGAGCCCAATCCCTGCCACCAGCACCAACCCCCCGATGTCACCCGGTGCCAATGCCGGGGGTGCCACCCCTGGGGACAGCCCGGTGGCCTCGCCCCAGCCCCGGGGACAGGCAGCTGGCGTGTCCCAGCTCGCAGAGCTGCCAGGCTGGAGCGACCAGCCCGGGCTGTGGCTGCGGGCTTCGCTTCCCACCTCAAAGCGGGGAAAATCCAGCCGGGAATGGGGGGATGGATGCGACAGTTGGGGACAATGGGTGGGTGGCATGCTGTCACCTCCTGGCCGTGCCCGGAGGGTCCTGGGGAGGGGGTCCCCAAAGCCTGGCCGGGGTTGGGGGGGACAGGGAGGGGACGATCCCTGGGATTGTTCCCGCAGCCCAAAGGGAAAGGTCAGGCGGCGCTGGCGGGGGCAGATTCCACCCCGAGGAATGCGGGCCTGGAATCCTTCCAGAATGTTCGCGGCTTCTACAGGAGGGTCCCAAATACGCGGCCAGACAGGAGATCCCGGCGTGCACAGGGACACACGGACAGAGGGGACACACGGACAGAGGGGACACACGGAAATGGGGACACACGGACAGGGGACACACGGACAGAGGGGACACATGGAAATGGGGACACACGGACAGAGGGGACACATGGACAGGGGACATATGGACACAGGGATATAGGGACAGGGGACACACGGACAGGGGACACACGGACAGAGGGATACATGGAAATGGGGACACATGGACACAGGGACACATGGACGGGGGACACACGGACAGGGGACACACGGACAGAAGGACACGTGCACATGGGGACACATGGAAATGGGGACACATGGACACGGGGACACACACACTGGGGATCCAAAGAATGGGGACACACGGGGACACGCGGACAGAGAGGACACACGGCCCTGCTCCCACACCTCTGTCCCCAGCCATCTCCAGCCTTTTCCCCGATGTCACCCCCCTGTCCCCTGCCGGCCCCGCCCCGCCCGGAGCGCGGTGACATCGCGGGGACACAGCCCGTGGTCCCAGCCGGGGACATGTCACCAGCTGCGACCCCGGGGCCGTGCCAGCCGTGCCATCACCGGCCCTGGCACGCGGAGAGGATAACGTCACCCTTTGGACAGGGACAGGGACGGGGACAGGGATGGGGACAGAGATGGGGAGAGAGATGGGGACGGGGACAGAGACATGGACAGGGATGGGGACGGGGACAGGGATGGGGACAGGAATGGGGACGAGGATAGGGAAGGGGATGGGACAAGGACAGAGACGGGGACAGGGATGGGGGACAGGAACACGGGACAGGGATGGAGACAGGGACAGGAATGGAGACAGGGATGGGGACAGGGACAGAGATGGGGACAGGGATGGGGACGGGGATGGGGATGCGACAAGGACAGAGACGGGGACAGGGATGAAGACAAGGACAGGGACAGGGGACAGGGGACAGGGACGGGGACAGCGACAGCGACAAGCAGCGCTGCCACCACCGCGGCCACACCACCGCCCTCCTCCGGCCGCCGGAGCCGGGGGGGACACAAGCGCTAATCCCCGCCTAAGGGCCAGCTGAGATTAGGGTCAGAAAAATGAGGTTTTAATAGGATTTTGGAGGAGGAGAAAGCCCTGCCGAGACAATCCCCCATTTCCAGCCCTTTTATGGCAAAGCCGCTGCCATGGGAAAGGGGTCGGGGGTCCCACACTGCCCTCCCCGGGCTCCAGACAGAGTTTTTGGGGGGTTGCACCCCTAAAAAAAGCTGAGATCGATGTTTCCCGACAGGCAGGGAACTCACAGGAATTCCCTGTGGGATCCTCACTCTGGAAAACCACGGAGAAAACACACACAGCACTCATGGAGAATCCTTGGGATTCGTGGAGAATCCTTGGGATTCGTGGAGCATCCCAGGAATTTTTGGAGCATAAAAACTCTCAGGAATTCCCAGTGGGGTCCTCACTGGGGAAAACCATGGAGAAAACACACACAGCACTCATGGAGGATCCTTGGGATTTGTGGAGAATCCTTGGGATTCTTGGAGCAACCTGGGGATTTCTGGAGCATAAAAACTCTCAGGAATTCCCAGTGGGGTCCTCACTCCGGAAATCCATGGAGAAAACACACACAGCACTCATGGATTATCCTTGGGATTCGTGGAGCATCCCAGGAATTTCTGGAGCATAAAAACTGCCAGGAATTCCCAGTAGGATCCTCACTCTGGAAAAGCACTGAGAAAACCATGGAGAAAACCATGGAGAGAACACTCATGGTGAATCCTTGGGATTCTTGGAGCATCCCAGGAATTTCTGGAGCATAAAAACTGCCAGAAATTCCCAGTGGGATCCTCACTGGGGAAAACCACGGAGAGATCATTCATGGAGAATCCTTTGGGATTTCAGCGGGATTTGGATTCCAGGGGAATTCTCCCACCTGGGACAGCGTGACAACAGAACGGGGGGTGGGGACAGGTGACAAGGCCAGGAGCGCCCGGGCATCCCTGCTGGCCGTGTCCCAGCTTTTGGGATTAGGGATCGGCGGGAGAAAGCATTTTAATTCTCTTTAACTGAGGAGCTTTGCAGCTCAGAGGGGATTTTTGGGGACGGGAGGGATGGGGGGGGGGTGGGTTTCACACATCCAACATCCCCCAAACCAAAGCGGGAATGGGACCCAGGAATGTCCCCAATCCCAATCCCAATCCCAATCCCACAGAGCTGGGAATCCTGATGGGAATGGGGGGAAAAGAAGGGTGGGAGCTCTGGGAGTGGAGGAGCGGCCCCGAGAGGGAGGAGGAGTGCTGGGAAAAGGAGGGGAAAGGAGGGAAAAGGAAGGGAAAAGAGGAAAAAGCACGGGAAAGGGGAGGAAAAGAAGGGAAAA